GATTATCCCCCAAGTTAGGCATACCACTACCATTGCTTTGATTTGGTACTGTAGTACCCCCTTGGTTTGAAGTAAAGGGACCAAAAAGCGGTTCTATCCCTTGACTCGGATTTAGGACCGAGGGATTATGCCCCACGATCGTCCTAGTTTGAAAGTGATTTGTAAGAGGTATAGCCGGTTGACATATTTGGCCTACTAACTTATTCATTATTTCGTTCAACGTCTTTAGTTGTTTGGCCATGTTGTCATAGTGTACATTCCCATTTTGTGTAAATCTTTCCATATTATGAATATTTCGAAGATTTACCTGTTCAACGACGTCTTCCGTGAGTTTTCCAAGTAATGCACGCATGGTTCGAGGACTCAACTCCGTCATTGGTTCGTAACGACTGTTACTGCTCTGATTCTGTCCATCTGTTCGTGGAGAGGCATGCTGCTCCTCATATCGCTCGATTACAAACTGGATTCCTCCCTGACTTGCTGCTTCCTTATCGGATCTCTGAGGCATATTGTTTCCCCTTTTGTACTTTCAACACCTAACACCACTGTCCCACCGGGCGTGCCAAATTGTTTCGCGCGGGTTAGTCGCTAACAATTAAAAGGGATCAGACGATTGTGTAAGGGACAAACCTCTTGAGACAAAGTCCCAAAAAAGGGTGTTCTTTTATTGGCGATGACTTTACAATTGGAAATGAAAAACAAACGTGCCTCCAAGGGGCGCAAGCACACGAGTTACTGAAAGAAAAGTGTTTAAGTCTAAAAACTAAAGAAATGAAAATTACATATTCTCTGTTCGAGAGTTTTGGATTCGGTCGTTTGCTTCTATGTCCTTTCTCCCTTTTATACTTCATAGACGATCTCTTTGTAATCAACTACTCTAAAAACTGCTTGATCGTCCTATAACTACCCACTTTCTTCGTAATGGCCACCTTGTCATGAAAACTGCCTTTTAACTGCTGCCATTACCCTTCATCGTTCAACTGCTTTCGATTGAATTCCTTGAATCGTGGAACGTGATAGGGCTGCTTTAATAACTGCTTTGATAACTGCACTTCTTGATAACCACGACGCGTTATATTTGTTAATACCTTGGGCGACTTGAAGGTTTGGGCGAGAATAGAGTAACAGCTCTGGGTGACTGTATGACACTCCATTCGCTCAGATTCTGGGCGACTTGCAAACTTGGGTGATGGCGTTACCGCGTTCTTGGCCCTCCTTATTTGAGCCTTCATCTTGATTTGTTTGATTGTGCTTCGTTCTTTGGGCTATCTGATTTGGGGATTCTCCAATTGGGCTTCACTCCTTGGACTGTTCGATTTGGGCAGAATTTTTATGTGTCAACATTTTCTTTGCTTGAAAATTTGAAATTGCTTTTCCAACTATGAAGAGAAGTGCACAACATTATTTATTTATCATTATTATTTTTTGTTTGATCTGTAAAATGTGCACATCATTCTTTCTCTGAGTATAAAGGGTCATTGGCAGTGATTTTTTGCTTACAAAATCAAGGAATATATTTTCAAAGCCATCTATTTGTTACAAATTGGTTAGGAGAATACAAGACGATGTTGTTAAAGATTTCAAAAATATCACAACACAGATGGACTGGCAGAATCTCTAGTTGTCACACCTAGGGATGCACTTAGATATAGTAATGGTTCTAGTTATAAATTGTTTCAACCGTGCTGGTTGTATAGAAGGGGTTTTATACCCTTTTTGACAGAGTAAACACAAAAAGGGGGTGGGGGCTTGGTTTTTTGCATTTTTTATTCATGTGGGGTCGATTGGGGTCCCATGCGAATGTGAGTATCTGCCATTCAATATGTCAAACATTTTCTGGTAGAGGAACTTTATTCAAATTGTTTATATGTTTGATATTTTTACAAACAAGAGAATGTAAGTGTAATGATATATTGTGCAAACACGATTATCAATGAGATGTAAAGTTTTCTATTTTTTTTTAAATTGATGTCTTAATTTGCATTCTCTCTTTAGCAATTTATTTTAAAATAATAAAAACAATTGTTTGGACTCGACCAACCCCTTTTGGGATGGGTCAATGTGCCGATCAAATTTCACCACCTCTATTTTGGACTTTGAAAGAAATGTCCATACATAGCTTGTTCGAGAATTTTATTTCTCATTGCTCTAACTTAATAATAATAATAATAATAATAATAATAATAATAATAATAATAAATTCATTAATTGTTCGATTGTCAATCGAAGTGCAGACCGAGAGCTAAGTCCAAAATCAGTCATCAAACAAAAGTTTGTGACTTTATTCATTGATGAAAATTTTGTCGGTAAATTAATTTTATTAAAAATATTTATATTTTTTATAGTATTATTTGAAAAGTTGCTTGTATATTTAATTTAATTTTTAATTAGCAACAAAATTTTATTAAATTAATATTTAACTTTTTATTACGATGAAAATTCTATTGGTAAATAAAAATTATGAAGACAATATTTATTAAATTATCACCTACCAAAACTAAAGGGGGTGTCCTCAATCTAAAGTTTGATGGATTTTAAAACTTCATATAAATTGAAGTATTTTCAATTCAGATTTAAATATAATTCATTAAAATATAGGTGTTCCCAATTTAGATTTTTAAAAATATTTATGAATTTAGGTGTCCTCAACATAGATTTTAATAGGTAATTTTGAAATTTAGATGTCCTCAATAACTAGTTGATTTTAAAAGATTTCATTAAGTAGATAGATTTTGAAAGATTTCAATGTAAAAATATAAGTACAAAGAATCAGTAACAATTTTAACCCAAACCTAAAAATTTCACAACATTTCTCACCTCTCTGTATATTTGCCGCCTTCTCTCTCTCTCTCTCTCTCCCCCCCCCCTCCTTCAACAAGATTTTATTCTTCTTTCTATCTCATATTTCTCTACTGTGAAAAGATCGTGTATGAGAACTTTTCAATTGATGATAATTTATGAAAGATTACTATTTTTTGTTGAATATTGGGTGTGATTTTTTATTGAACTTATTTTTTCTTATTGAAGTTATACATGTCTCAGGAATCGAACCTCCACACTGTGGCTGCCAACAAGGCGTGAGATAACCTCACTCCTGTCCTTTACACCACTAAATTATGCCCCGAGGGACGAGGCGAGGACTGTTAACAATATTGTACATTATGTTGTACATGTAGCTCTCTTATTCCTATCACCTTTAATTTTCCAACCGGGCACGTCCCCATGTTGTTCCGCCTTTTTAATCTTTCTTTTTCTTCTTTAGTACTGTGTAAAATATCAATTCAGTTTAATATCGTGTCCAAAACTCTAATTCGAGAACTTGTACATATAGAGAAGAATTTCCCGTAGAGTGCGATATGGATTGATTCAGCGATCAACAAATAGGCAAATGGCTCGAAAATCTCGATTAAAGTTCCCATAACTCTTCGGAGCCCAATTTGTATGTTATCAGCTTCAATAATGAATTACAATATCAATTCTTTCGACATTCAATGCTGCTATAGGTACAGGAAACACTTCACAGAAACCGTACAGGAATTCAAAACAAATGACTTGGTTGGCTGAGGGGGGGAAAAAAGAAAAAAAAAATGCTATGGGTTATCTGAGAAAACTTCCTGTACCTAGAGCATAATTATCTTTTTGGTTAGGCAGGCTGTTAATGACTGTTGAGGCGTGGAAATCATTGACTTAATTTATAATTATCTTTTTGCAATTTAGTGACATAATTAGTGCACGTATGAGGAAGGTATGACCAGTTAATTAGGGCCATCATCCATTACTTATATTGGTCGAAACCTTGTCGTTCAAACATAAAATAAATAAAAAAACGAGACATAATTGATACGTAGATCAAATTGGAAACATGTATCAGCATTGGATAAGAATCCAACTAATTAATGCATTCATTCAAAGTAAGGTTTTGTCTGTCTTTTCTTTAATGAAAAAAATACGTATTAACAAATCAACAGTTGATCCTCGACAACTATTTTATTGTCACTAGTAGATTTGTCTGTTTCGTCGATGTTTCAATTGGAGCTGAAAATAATATTATAGTTACAATTCATTAATTAAGAAAATTAAACCACTGGGTTTATTAATTAGTTAAAGATGCTAGAAAAGAAACTCATGAGAGTGTGAAGTTTTCTTAATGGGTTTGCTAGGTTCCTGTTGGCTTATCATTGAATGTATTATCATCCCGAATGGATATATCAAGTTATTTTACTTGAGTTTCTATCTCCATCCTGTTTTTCTCTACTCTTTCCAGATTTTTCTATGGTTAAAGGAGCTAAGGAGGTGTCTTTTGTTTGCATTGTTTTATCTTTTACGAATCACTTGCATCTTCAAATTCATGAATAGGGCTGTCTTGTTCTTTCTTCATAAATCAATGAGAACCGATGTTTTCTATGATGTAATGGAGCAAGAAATTAAAAATCATGAAATTGTTGTTTCTTCATATTGTAGTTGGAATCCAACTTGTATACCTAGTCAGGTTAGTATTCTGCATAAATTTCAATCAAAAGAAGTGGGAAGTAGTCATTACTTGAAGTCATCGTGTGCAAAAACCTTGTCTGGGAACTTGTTTAGAGAAGGGTTTCCCGAGGAGCTCGATATGGATTGGTTCAGCAATCAAGAAATCGGTGAAAAACTTGAAAATCTCGATATCGGCTCCCATAACTCATCGGATTTGCATGTTATCGGCTTCAATCAGAAATCAGAAGATACTGATCAGAATGACTCTACTAATTCATCTGCATCTGCTACAGATTTGTTTATTGATGATTCATCATCATCATTTTCTTGCTCAAATTCAACTGTCGCACTCGAGCAATGTACGACAAACAAAAGTGCAGACGAAGTAGCAGACTCATTCTACCGAAAGTATACAGAAAGAATGAGATGGTTTGACATTCTCAGTTGTGATAGATTATTCGGAATAAGTGAGTACTTACATTCCTTAATCATATTTGGTGCATTGGGTCGTGTCAATTCTATATAGTCATGTCTAATACTGTGTTCGGATTTTACAGATGCAATAGTAGGTGGCTCATGGAATAAAATGGACAGAAAAATGATTGCAAGTAGTTTGGAAAGTGACTTGGAGTTGATATATGTGGCCCAAATGTGCTTGTCCTGGGAAGCACTCTACTATCAATACAGAAAGATTGAATCCATTATCAATACTCAAAAAGAGGCATTATTCCATAACTGTACTGCAGGAAATTTTCAAAATTTTCAGGTTCTTTTAGAAAGATTTATGGAAGATGAAAAATGTGAAAAATGTGAAAGATATTCAAATTACATACATAAAAGGTTTTCCTTCAAGAGTCTACTCCAGGTTCCTGAGGTTAAAGGTAATTATTATTATTATTAGGGTAATTAGCACAGAACGTCCCTACCTTTCATGATTTTTGTGGAAAACGTCCCTACATTTCGTTTTTGGCGCATTTCATCCCTACCTTTACCTTTTCTTGTGCAAAACATTTTTTTCATCATTTTTCTCAATAAAAGCTATAAAATGACCAATATACTCTTCTATTTAAATAAAAAAATAAAAAACTAAACGCAATCGTAGTTCCAAATAAAAAAATTCTCCACCACCTCCTGTTTTGAACTTTCTTAAAAATTGGAACTATTTAGTTCTTTATTTTTTTTATTTAAATAGAAAGGTATATTAGTCATTTTATAACTTTTTATTGAGAAAATTGATAAAAATGATGTTTTCCACAAGAAAAGGTAAAGGTAGGGATGAAATGCGCCAAAAAACGAAAGGTAGGGACATTTTCCACAAAATCATGAAAGGTAAGGACGTTTTGTGCTAATTACCCTTATTATTATTATTATAAGACAAAATGACATGTCTCAAGTTGGTAATTTTTTAATTATTCTATGCTTATCCATTTCCTATTTATAATTGGGGCCATGCTCTTTGTTTAATATTTTTTTCAAAGAAACAGAATTGCCTAATATTGTTGACCAGGATGCAAGTAATTGTCTGATTACATTTTTCTCGATTTTATGAATTAAGAATCAAAGTGAGTTTTAATTAAATGGAAGCATCCTTGTGATTACCCTAAGTAGAAATTAAGATGGACCTCTATCAGATAATCAAATATACCCTTTAGTGACAGTACTCTTCTTATATTATGTCTCTGCATCATTAAATATTCGATTCTTTAATCATGTTTAGGTAACCTTTTAGTTTTTAGATTTGAGTTTAATACAAGGGTTCATTTGATAGAAGTTTTGAAAAATTAAAAGTTGCTTATGAGATTAAAAAATTGCTTTTAAACATATTTGAATAATTTTGTAAAAGTGCTTCTTCTAGCTTCAAAAGCTTTTAGAAGTCGTCGAACTTTCTACAAGAGGAAGAAGGAAAAGTAGAAATCCAACCAAATGAGTGTTTAGTATCATGTAATGAAAAGAATATGTTGAAAATCGAACTAGGGACCTGTTGCTTCCATAAGTGTCCTTCCAAAATTAACAAAGCTTAAGGTACAGGGGCTTGGTTCATAAGCCCCCTGCCAGATGTGAGAGAAGGTGGAAGCGGGTCCCATCTTTCTTTTTTTTAATTGCTGTGGGTCCGACCCCCCTACAGTGAGGGGTCTGTACACCCCCTGTGAACCGAGCTCCTATACGTGGAGCTTGGTTCATTAAAAAAAGGAAATGCGTGTTTCTTGAAGTAGCAACTCTGAAAGTGGAGTCATTACACGGGATCTTGACATGTGGCAATGTTCTGATCGTTTGATCTGATTTTAGACCCTTCCAGCCATTTAACTCGTGAAAGACTCTTGGTTTGATTCATTCTTAGGATTTGGGAGTTGCCTCTTTGTCTCCTTCTTCTTTGAATGTGAACACCATATACTTCTTGATTTTGAGTTCGATATTTGAGTGATTCTTAGAGAAATACTTGAGAGATGATGAAGTATTACTCCATTCTCATGTGTTAGTATGCTGTTATTTGGTGGGTTATGTGAATTTGCATGATTCAAGTATACAGCCCCATTTCTGTAAGATCTTAGTGATCTTGTGTATAGTTCCTTGGTGGAATGTGATCTGCTGTGAAATAAGCACATGTATTTGTGATTCAAGAGAGGGCAGTTTGGGTTATTAGTGAGATCTTCGTGATCCAGTTTGATTTCTTTGTGGATAGTAGTTGGCTATTGTTGTGCTTCATAAGATAAGTCTTTGTGACTTATTTCTTTGTAATTTCTAGAACGATTCTTGTAAATTTGCTGCTTGTTTTGGGGCTTTATAGTGCAATCGAGCTTTATCAATTTTTAATGGATGTTTAACATGGGATTAGACGTTAGAAGTGGTCGTCAAACCTGTGGGGCCTCGGTCGAAAAATCTCTGTGTTGATTTTACATTTTCTGCACTTTTATTACTGTTATTATTGTGGTTTTGTGAATTCTTTTTAATCTCGGATGCTCCTCGACTTTTCAGAATGTATATAGTTATTTTCAGGATTCATATTATATGCATGTAACCTTTTTTTTTATCATATGTACTTAGGTTATGTTGAAGAAGAAAATGGAACCATAAGCGGAGAACCCATCCGGGCAAGTGAAGCATTTAAAGCTTTGGAGAATTGCATAAAAGCTTTTTGGTTATTTGCAAAATCAGATAACAAACCCTTGTGGAAATTTAAGAGTATTTTGACGATTTATTCTCCCCGTGTTGAAGACCCTAAAGACTTGGAGCTCTTCTATGACCTGACTAAGGATCTACAAAAGGTATTTCTTCATCCAAATCCAACGTCTTTATATATATATATATATATATATATCGAAGTAATTTCTATGTATTTAACGAAAAAGAAAATGGTCTTTTGTTTTCATGAAGAAGGGGCTATTGTTGAAAGAATTGCAAGGGAAGAAAAAATGTTGGTTGAAGAGAAGGGTGAATCCCATGCAGAGAGAATTCGAGAAAATAGATGTTTTATTAACCACAATCGACTTGAAGCTGGTGGAAATAGTGCTTAAAATGTCGATAATATCCACATCTCACTTGAAATGGTGTCGAGAGAAGCTTAATAACTTGGAGTTCAAGGAAGATAAAATTTTTAGGGTACACACAAATAACTTGTTTCCCACATCCTAAACTAGTTGGGTAATGTCACTTTGCCAGAAAGATATTGATAGATGCCTTGACATAATGCGTGTTGACAATATATGATTGGATAAAAAAGTTAATTGTATTTTAGTCAGTCCAATAATAAAATATCATGTGACATTATGTCAACTTGTGACATGATTCAAACTTAGTTGGCTCAGCTTGTGTACACATTTTCTTGGAACCTCAGGCCAAAAGCACAAGTCCAACGTGTACACATCTATGTTCCGCTCGAAGTATCAAAATGTAAGATGTGTAGCTTGCCATGAAGAATCGAATTTGATTGATAAGAGTTTAGTACTTTAATTTATGGGAAGTTGCACTTTGTAATAGTTCAAGTAGCGTTCTAGCAATTAGCAACACTTCATAATTAATTTGAAAGGCGTGACCTTTCATGCAAAGGGAAATTTTTATTAATAAATCTCTTTTTATATTCACTGTGAAAAGTTAGTACGGGCCTGTTTGAGTCATACTATTCCTAAAAAACGCATTCTTAAACAGTTATTTGACATCATTTCAACCACATATTTTTCAATAAAATAATATTACACGCAAATTAGAAACTTTTCCTTATTTTTAAACCACACATTTCTCATCAATACACTATTCAATAATACATTATTATCAAAATAATGTGACTCAAACACCCTCCTGCAAAAACGTATTTCATTAAAGAACTTAAAAGCTGAAGGCTACTTTTACTTCAACAATGTTGTGGGCAGAAACTTTCTTTCAACTTTGGGTCCGGGCCCAATATGGAGGATGATGGACAACATAGTTTGTGGAAAATTATTATTATTATTATTTTCTTCTTCTATATCTTGTTATATTAAAATACAACATGAGCCTTAAATTTAGGGCAATTTACACAAATGGGGATAAAACCTGGGGATGAATTGAAAAATAATGATTTTTTTGTTAAATTTTATAAAATTAACAACTTTATCGAGTGGTCTAGTTCGAAGACTGCCTCCGCCGCCCCCTTCTTAGTCAATGGGCAATGCACCTCGGGTAGCTGTACAAAGACTCCTTATTTAATTTTTTTTGACAGAAATAGTTCGTTTAATTTTTTGATGTATATATAAATTTTTTTTACTATATTTATAGCTTACACTCTATTTAGATTTGGGATGGAGACTAGAACCCAATTCACTATCAATCCACTACTATTATTCAACGCCACACTAGCATTTTGAATTTTTCCAATCAAGATCAAGTAGAAAAGAATGGTATAAAGAAAATAGCTGTTCAAGTTCTGAAACTCTGTGAAAGTGAGTTGACGGTGGAGGACGATAGGATAGTAGAGAGTGCTGATGTAAGTAAATATTGGCATCGAAGTCTATGTCAAGGCAAAGAGTTGAAAGTCCGTGGGGGTAGAAGAGAGAGAACTTC